AACTCTATTGATATAATCATCATTCAGAATTTGATTTCTAACACGCCTAAGAGAGTATAAGAGGTTCTTCGTAATAAGGGTCAGCCCTGCAAATATTGATACCTTGGTGAAATTTGCCATTTTTCGAATTTGTCGTGCGGGATTTCGTCCTTGTTAATGTTATTTTTGTATTCAAATTAAAAACAAATCTTTAACATTCAAAGATTTAGTTTAAACCTCATAATTGAATAATACAAAAAATGCCACTTGTGACAAAAGTTTTGGCCACGACTGCATCACAACCATTTGCTGAATGAGAGAACAAATTCATTAGATTTTGCCATTAACCCTGCAAAAAACATGTATCCGGAAAATGATCTAGTATTTAAAAAACAATTCTTTGATGAGGCTTGGAGCGTGGATGAATGCAGTGTGAAAAGAGCAAACGAACAACATATAATGAAAAATATCCAACATACGATTGAAAAATTTTCAGGTCTGGAATATTTTCATTATAACGAGACAATAAATTAGGTATAACTAAAATCAAGAGGCTGACAAAGCTTTGTAATGCGTATTCATTCCGCAAGCATTTAATCTTTCAAAGTCTCTAAGAATTACTTCTCGGGGCAAAATCCGTGAGTTCAATGGGATCCCCGATGAGCCTCGTGCTAACGTAGCGGCGAAGCGTAAATTTTACGTTTTCTTCGCACTGCGTGAAGGTGTGCGACCTGGAGCCGTCCTGGGCGCGCGTCACATCAAAGGTGTCGGAGTTGATGGAAAGTTTGTAATTGGTCAAGCTAGTGCACAGACCATCGTCATCGAAGTAGTACGTATAGCCCGTGTTGTCCGAAGATTCTTTGAAATCGCGGAATTTGAAATCTGTCAACAAACACATTACATCAAACCATTAGGAAACAGTATTAGGTGAAGTGTCATAATTTTTTTAATTACATTAATTTATCATCAGCGAGTTTCCCGAAGGAAATAAAGAAATCTACCATATTTCAATTTCAGATTATAATGTTGTAACTTGTTCTTTGGTAGGTCGTACGTCTGCTTGCTGTAAACTCTGATCGTTCTCACTTTGAGGGGCAAAGTCAGTTATGGTTCCCTCATTTCCGTACTCAACGCCCCCCACATAACGGCGCAGTGTGAACGTCACGACAGGAATGCACGCTGTGAACGTCTTGGCGTGGTGCCCTGTTTGGCCGTAGTTTACATCAATCGTTTCGTCGTTGATTGTGAGGGTGTAAGTGGCTCGATCTTTGCACAAGCAGGACTCGTCAAACGAGAAGCTGTAGCCAGTATCGTTCGACGACTCCATGAAGTTTATGAAGTTGAAGTCTGTAATGATAATTATAATCACATTGTAATGATCTTTTAATTGAGGGAATTGATGGTATGCACCAATTGAGGGAATTTCAGCTTGTTGAAGCATACCACCAATATGTCACGGAAAATCGTCCTTCAATTATCATCGATCAAAGATATCACATGATTGCTTCCTAACCTTGTAATTACCATCTATTCTATTTAGCTTTTAACAAAAGTGTTAGATTGACACAAACTGATCGAAATAAGTACCTTTCGGAGCGAAGTCTTGCGTAACAGATCTATTTCCAATTTCCAAGCCGCCCAGGTAGCGCACCAGAGTGAATGTCACGTCGACGCACTGTGTGAAGGCGTAAGCTATCCTGTTGGCAGTTGCTCGTGTCACTGCTACCGTTTGGTCCAGGAAAGTCAGCTCGTATGTCGTCAAGTCTGCACACTCGCCCACATCCTCATACTTCACCGTCAACCCCGCCACGTCGCTGTCCTCAGTAAAGTTCGCGAAATGGAATTCTGTTAACAGAAATAAAAATAGATTTTAATTGCAAAGATTACCAAGGTTTTTCTCACTTTCTTGTCGTAACATTATACGNCCCACCAGGCTTTCAGCGGTTACCAGGAGCGCCGCCACCAGCAGGCCTCCCAAAAAACACTTCATCGTGCACCTCATGCTTAGCTCCAAAGAAAACCTGTATATCTGATGAATTTTCTAGTTTCTGGAACGTACAAGATTTATTAGACAGGAATGGCAAGCAATCACTGAAAGAAAGCTCAAAGACATTATTTTATTTCCCAATTTACCCTTTTGAAGGTTGACATGAGATGAGCTGAAGATCTACAAAATTCCCTTGGTCTTCTCAAATTACTTTAAATCGAAGGGTCTTCTAATTGATTTCTTGGGTCCATGTTCATTTTTCAACAAATGCACTCATCAGGATAATATCATCATTTCTAAAGAAAAGTAAGAGACTACCCGGAAAAAGACAGAATTGGACCAACCACACGCCTAGGCATAGAAATAATCCTCAAGATCTGCGGTGGACCGAAAAACGCAAACCTACAATTCTCAATGAATTAGTAAACAATTTATTCGTTAACATCCACTGTACTGTATATGCGATCATCTCCTCTCTTTTAACTATTAATCCCGGCACCATGGAGGCCACATCATGCACGGAACGCTTAAGCAAGAAGAGTTCTGCATCGAGCGTGATGCACACTATACTCCGTCCTAAGTTAATTGTTAATATCACTGAGAAAAAATTGAGACAGAGAAAACCCCTGTTTTGAAACACTTGGGTTTTTCAAGGCCTCACCGAGCGGTCGTGTCGAAATAAGCCGAGACACTTACGACCGTCCAGGTAGCTCATATGACTCCAAGTGTCTTAAAATTCAAGATTTTGAGAAGAAATCGAGATTTTTGGTGGTACAGAGGTGAAAAAACGAATAAATCTACGGAAAATCTAACCAACTTTACAGAATCTTTGCGATTTCCTTGTCCAATGTACAGTTTCCAGCGCCGGATAAAATACTTCCCGTATAATTTACTCCTCAATGGCCGATATAATCACTGAATAATCTTTTATAAAACAAATTTTACTTCAATCAAAACAACACCACTGAAAATTTTGTAGAAAAAGGCCCAAACCGTAAACGTACACAAGAACGCACGCGCAATAAACTAGTTACATTTTCAATTGAGAAGTAATAAAAATTAGTTCATCACCCGCTTTGCAGAATTTTTAACAGTATCTTGCGTCTTCAGTATCTTGTTTCTTCAGTATCTTGTGTCTTCAGTATCTTTTGTCTTCAGTATCATTTGTCTTCAGTATCTTTTGTCTTCAGTATCTTGTGTCTACAGTATCTTGTGTCTTCAGTATCTTGTGTCTCAGTATCTTGTGTCTTCAGTATCTTGTGTCTTCAGTATCTTGTTCATGTCAGGCTTCAGAATTAAACAGTAAAGGCCGTGCTGAGCGGAAATCTTCGTTTGCGACCCGATAATCGTGGCGGTAATGCATATTATCGCTTGTTGTAATTGAATGATTGATGGAGGTGCATGTGTTTTCTTAAAAGCAAAAGGAGGAGAGTTAAGAATGAGACAATTAATATTTTTTATCTAAAGCCAATTTAAGCAAACTGATGAGGTTACTTTCAGGGCATATGAACAAGCTCATTTAACAATCCTCTTACGGGTAAGGTTAGTTTAGGAAAGGTTATGTTAGGCTAGGTTAGGTTTAGTTAGGTTGGGTTCGGTTAGTTTAAATTATATTCGGTTATATTAACCAGAGTTCCCGCACTCTCATAGACAAACATGCACTAATACTCTCATAATGCTGCTGCTGCTGCTGCTGCTGCTGCACTCACACGAGAGTCTCACGATGGGGTTTTGTGAGTGTTTTTTTAAGATTGTCATGACAGTAAAGGAATACATTAAGGTGAAATATAATATAAATATATACGGGCGCCTAATTACAGGTTTTATAAAACGATAAAAGCTTCGTTGTCAGTTCTAAAGTTCTAGAAACAGATACTATCAGTTGTTAGTATAGTCGAAATTAAAAAATAAATGAAAAGTTAAAACATAAATTCACAAATAAATGAGAAGCAAAACCAGGCAAAACCTATCCATAATTTTTGCGGTTGATGTAGTACTATTCAAGCGCAGTACCCCGGTTCGGGGTACTGCGGGACAGTCAATTGGGCCACTACCTAATTACGATATCATCAAAATTATTGTCAAATTTCAGATTAGAATATAATCTTTCTGTTATTACTCATTTAGTAGGGTCGTTATGACTGACTTTAATGTTTCCCATACTATCTGATACAAGATTATCTGCATCAGGAAATAATTTTAAATAAATCAGCAGCGTCAGGATACAAGATCAGCAGCATCGCAAGCTCACAAATTACTCAACTGACACTTTCAAGTGCCCCTTCAGTCCCTCCTCTTCTTCCCTGGACCGTGAGTGGCCTGCGGTCGGCTCGGCACTCAGAAATTACACTAACTTTAAAGCCAACTTCTAAATTAAACTACATTATAAAGACCAAGCGACCCATTTTATTAAAACTGTCTTCACACGTATAAAAAAACAACACAACATCATAAGTATCTTCTTACTGTTGGGTATCACAGATACAAACACCGCAGCAATGTTATACGTCGTTACATCAAAAAGTCCTCTCATCTGAACCTCGAGCTTCGGAGTGATGAGCAGCAACATTGCTATTCTGGATTTAAGTAAAACTTGATCTGACGAGCGTTCGAACAAATATGGATCTTATTCGTACCATTCTTTAGTTTGAATTTATTATCACCGTACCATTATGACGATGATTGCTGTGGCTCCAACAGATATATCAAAGCCTGAATAGCACCAACACCTGCGCATCGACCTTGTTGAACACTTGCATGGGGCTAGCTTACCAAACTAAACATTTGATATTTTAAACCGACTTACTCGTGTACATTCTAATAAGAATTAAATTTGTATTGGAACTTCAAATGCATTGCTGCGTCTTTTCTTTTCATTATTTTTATATAAAAATAGGCAATATCAACTTACAATAATATTTAGTTGAATCGCACTACACCTATAAAGCGGCTCCCCTACATCGCGGCTTTTCAAGAAACATTAATGAGAACATTCATCAGCGAATTTTCGCTGGTTCGAGGGCTTCTGAAGAAATAGATCGGCAGATCGGATATTCGGCTCTGTCAAAGAAAAAATACTCGACCCACAGTTCGCAGAACCTCGGGCCACTGCAACAGCACTCGCACAACCTGACCCTCCACTGGATGAAACTGACACACACCTGGTCAATTGGATACACATGTGTACCAAACGCTTCCGAAACTTCGCGAGGTTGTTCCGCTGGCCAATTGTTCTCTTAATTTCAAGTCAATATTTTATTGCAGAAATGCCGATAACATCTTTCTAATTTATAACCATCTTACGTCGACCGTTTCTACAATTACTTTAAATTATAGCATACAGTATGTCCATTATATTACTGTGGAGCTTGAATCTAACAATAGTTTTTCCTTTCTTGATTGCATTTTTTACTAAATCTGATGGCCGTTTCTGATGTCGGTTTTCCGAACAAGTAACATTTACCGGTCTAAGTGCCAGTTTTTCAGCTTTTGTTCATTTTGATTCCTGTTGAATGCTATTCAAACATTAATACTTCGCGATTTCGTATTCGTTCTTCATTCCATGCACGCTGATTTGCGATGAATTTTTGTATAATATCTTAGGTAAAATCTGAATGCCGTAACTTCTATCTACTAGGTGTGAGAGCCTTTAAACAATATTGGTCTTACAACATGGATTATGCTGGAACAGGCGATTCTTTGCACGAAATTAGAAAGTATAAATTAAACTTCTAATTTCTTGTAATTTAGAAATTTTAAATCAAATTTTTGGGCTTCTTGCTAAAATACGAAATAGCTTACTATGCTCGTTACATATCTAAACGTTTGTCACAAGAACAGACATCCGATGGTCATGCCTTAGTTTCTGGTGCCAATTTCTTCTATTAAATAAGATCGAATCAGCTTCATCACTAATTGCATGATATGCAATTACTTAAAATTTACCCAGTTTATTAAAATTATATCTTTAAATATAAGTATCAAACGTTAATATTGCATTAAACTATTTTTAGAATATACATATCTGGGCCAATAATGCTTACTAACACCATTGCACCACTACTAAATGTGGCTCAAACTGCCTCTCTAATAGTCGAATCTTTCAAAGTAATATGACATAATTTAATTTGGTGATCCATCTTATATATTTTGCATCAATAAATCCGTACTGTCTTAAACTTTCTATGTTATCGCTAATATTATAAATGTTTATTAATTGTTTGCCTCAGAACCCCTGGGTTACGCAGTATGGTCTTATGCGCGCCACGTACATATACGCTACTGCTGCCCTTCTTTCTTCAACCATCCAAGAAGCCGGAGTGAACCTTACGTGCTATCTACGCATATGCTGCTGCTGCCCTTCTTTCTTTAACTGTCCAAGAAGCCGGAGTGAACCTTACGTGCTATACCATACGTGCTATCTACGTATATGCTGCTGCTGCTGCCCTTCTCGTTTAACCGTCCAAGAAGCCGGAGTGAACCATACGTGCTATCTACGTATACGCTGCTGCTACCCTTCTTTCTTTACCCGTCCAAGAAGCTGGAGTGAACCTTACGTGATATCTACGTATATGCTGCTGCTGCTGCCCTTCTTTCTTTAACCTTCCAAGAAGCCGGAGTGAACCATACGTGCTATCTACGTATATGCTGCTGCTGCTAACAGCTGCTGCTTCTCCTATTTCAACCCTAAAGACACAAAAGCTAAACTTTCGTCCTAACTATATAGATATACAAATATACGCACTATATATTATAGAAAGGACACATTATATACACGTTAAATATAGGATTTAGTCACATTTGACCTTATCTGATACATCCCAAAAAAATATGTATGTATTATGCGCATATATAGGGCAACATGGGGCAGCGCGCAGCCCGCCCCCCCCCTATTTTTAAACAAAATTTTGATGAAGTTTTAATTGATACGAGGTGGTTCTTTGTTTTGTTTAAAGGCACAACTAATGAGGAATGCATGATGTGAATTAGACGCCTATTTTTAATGAAACACTATTTTGTAAAAAGTGTCAAAATGGGCCCATTGCCCCACCCCTGGGGCAATGGGCCCATGGGCTTGGGGCAAGGCGCCCGCCCTTGGTCCCTTTACCACGATTGCATTTTTTCGTTTAAAAATGATAAAACAACACTATACAGTTTAAAATAAAAAAAAATTATAAAATATGACATTCATTCATATATTAACAACTCAAAAAATCATATCCTTAACTTGAAAAAATATACTCTTGGCTTAAAAAATCTATCACTGACGTGAAGAAAAATATTTCATTGTTGCCGGAAGGCATCTGACCTTTTATCACTCAACCAGTCTGTGTTTTAATTAAGTATGTTTCAGTAACTCCTGACTCGATTTAATTATTTTCCATTTTTGATTCAGAGTAATTATTGCACAACTAACGACTGTCGCGTTCAATTCAGTTCCGCCATTTAGTAACTAGCAGCCACTGGCATTCCGTGTTGTGTTAGTCTGGAAGTGCAAACCTTGGTAAGTCTGCTTTCCGAAATCGGAACATTTTGTGTACTGCGTTAGTTGTTTGTCGAATCAATTGTAATTCTTTCACAAGTGGTAAATTCCTTGTTCATTATGCACTTTACTGCAGTTAATGATCATTTGCTTATTCATGCGTTAGTTATCCAAGCCTATCTTGATTATTGAAGTAATTTTCTTGTTTGAATTAATTGATTATTTCTTGTCTAACGATCATAGTTTTAATGCATTTTTAGCCCCAATAAATATTTTAGATTAAATTCTGGCATTCGTTAAGAGATTTAATTATTTTGTTTGTGAATTCTTTATTTAGCTCTAGGGTTATTTATGTTCCATTTATTTTTCTTGCAGTGTCACTCAGTCAATCTAGTCCTGCCCTGTGCTCCCTATAAACTAAGGTTTTGGCCTAGAACAGCCAACAGTCCTCATAACCCTTATCAGTGGAACTGCCAGTTAAGGCCACTGATCAATGCCACACTCTTCACTTGTTTCATTTGTTTGCTGTACTGGCCCTAAATGTAATTTTAATAGAAAATTCTTTCATTTAAACAACATTAATAGCTTCCACTGTTTAATTAACTCTGAAGTGGACAACGGGTTTGTCCCACCCGCTAGCACGGTAACATCATTGACGTAAAAATATATATATCGTTGACATGAAAAATATATCCTTGCGATAAAAAATTCGTCCTTGACATGAAAAAATGTATCCTTGACTAGAAAAATATATTTAGTTGATCAGAAAAATCTTCGTTCCAGTTTCTTCCATAATCCAGATATTATGTGCAGAGAATTCGTACCTCGTGATTTCAGCCGACACCATAAAAACTTATCAGCTTTTGGCTAATTGGTGTTGACTGAAATCAACTTTTGGAAAGGCAAGAGTCAATAACTCGATAAGGGATCATAAATACGCATAACTAGAAACTGCACCTGCTGCCTTGAGGCGGCAAATCAAAAAATCATGCAATATGAAATGTAATTTGTAATTCAAAAAGCTAGTCATAGTTTGAAAAGGTCATTGAGACAAATTTAAAGATGTATAACACAAGACTTCACCATGGGCGCTTTGCCCTGTGACACGCGTGGGCCCGTTGCCCACTAGGTATCATTTCAATTTATATCGTGTCAACATTTTATTTTAAAAGCTAATAGTCTAAGCTTGATCTCAAAATTATCCCTATAAATATTCCTGTCAAACTATAATTCACAGTAATTTCAACAGCTTCATCTACAGTAATGGAAAACAGTTTTATTTAGCGGGAAAAAATTTTTATCTGGGCTAAAACAGTTATTCACAAGTAACTTAATAGCGCAAACACTTAGCAAAACGTAAATCCGTACACTTCATCCAAGTGAAACTGTCGAACGGCGTTAGAGAACACGGACCAATATCTGCCATACTTAGCGAGAAACCCGCTATGGGCCCATGACCCGCAGTGGGCTCGCTGCCCCATGTTATCCTACGTACGCTGTTGCTGCTCAACTTGATGGAAACGAGTTTGATTTGATTTGAGATTTTGTTTTCACCAGCGCGTTGAGAACATCAATTTACATGGGACTATATTACTTCATCTCTATTAAGTAAATTTCTAGTTTGTATAGGCTGACTAAATTAAAAAAATTGTTTTCTGACAATTCCGAAGAAAAACTGGAACAAAAAAAAAGAGTTATAAAGTTTAGACATTAAAACTTACTGAACTGAAGGATGCTAGAAGAGCTAGCAGAGGCTATTTTTTAATATGATTATACACAGTTATGATGTGTATGTTTGTTTTGACGGATTAATGCGCATATGCCCAGAGATACGAAAAAAAATAATTATTGTTCAAAACATTAAATTTACGATTATTTGAGGGGGTTCCGATGATTTTCTCCAAATGAAACATATTACACCATCTCTTCAGGCGGCGAGGCGATAAGCCGCGGTTGAGATTTAATATGAGATTTTTCGAGGCGACATACAGTATATGTTCAGTTAACCGCAAAAAGTTTAATACAATGGTTCTTTTACAATTGATATACTCTAGAGCATTCGGTTAGAGCATTAAAATCTATCGAGG